TTTTGACTCTTTAAAAGCAGTTTTATATTGGACAAAATTGTCATTTAAATAAATACCTAATATTTAGGACTTTAGAATAACTAAAGCTTTACTTATTAAATCTTTTCTTATTTGATTATGTAAAAAATTATCAAGTAAATTTTTACCTTATATGAACTTCTTTCCTACTAAATTAACATTTCTTTATCATTAAAATCAAACTTTCAATCCCTCATTACTCTCTTGGATTAATTTTTAACATTTCAAAAAAAAAAAAAAACAGGACTTTTATCTTCTGAAGAACAAGATTGTTTGGGCAATGTTTTACTCCAACGCAAAGCTTGCTAGATCGAGTGCAATCACTGATAATCATGCTTCTTAAAGTTCACTACAAGGGAATCAAATGGCAAGACGATTGGGCTGGAATTTGCAGGTTCCTGGAAGGTTTTAAACCTCCAATGAAAGTTCTCAAGGTGATGTGGTCACTTCCTCCTTCAGGTAGACTGAAGCTTAACACGGATGGGAGTAGTAATGTTATGAAAAGAGTGGCCGGTATTGGGGGTATATTGTTAGGGATAGCAGTGGAAAGCTTGTCATGGCATATGCCAAGGTTCTTCACTTCTGCACTAACAATACGACTAAAACACAAGCTGCACTTTTTGGAATTGAGTGAATTGCCTTTAATAGGATTCACAATGTAATTCTAGAAATGAACTCTTTATTGATTGTTAATATGCTTAATGGATCTTCTTCACCTTTTTGGGAGATTCATGATGATATTTTAAGGATGAAAAAGATTATTCAGAGTCATCGAATTGAAGTTCAACATTGCTATAGAGAAGGAAATTCAGTGGCAGACACGCTATCAAAATATGGTGTTACATTGGATATTCTACCTATTGCTACCATCTTCCTCAATGTCCAAGATCTACCTAAGGAGACTGTTGGAGTATATCAAATGGATAGGAGGCAAATGCCTTCATTTAGATTCAGGAGATCAAAAATGAAGAACCTGCCTAGATGGAGTAGGATGATTATTGTGTATATGTTGTGTTTGTACATTTTTGTCATAGCATCACATGTACATGGAAGACTCACTTCCTACAATCATAGCAGTACTAACATAGCTGGCCTTTTTTGGTGTTAACTTATAGAGAAATTTTCATAAAACACTATCTTTTTGTAGTAATTAGCCATCTATAGATACCATTTGCTATATTATGGATTATAGATGCCCTTTCTGTGGTTATAAGATGTATTTGATGTATTTAAGCTATTATATTCATGAATACAATAGCAAAAATAGGCGTGAATCAGGGAAGTCCAACTAATTAGTTGTTGTATTCGAGTATATTCGACTGTATTCATGGAGTGAAACATGGGATTATAGCTGGATAGATTATTGTATTCAACTGTATTCACGACGTGAAATAGGGGATTACACTATTTTTAAAACGGAAAGTGAATCAATTAACATAATAGACTCCTAATATAACTCAACAAACTCAATTATAACACACAAATTTTGTATTTTCAGTTATAAAAAAGATTCTCAACCGAAAAATACCCCCAAAACATAGCAATCTTTAGAGAAATTATATAATACATCTGAATACATAAATTATATTAATTAAAAAAAGCGTATGAATACATTCATGGCATATAGCGAGATAGTGAATACAATGAAATACATAGAATACAGCGGGATACATTGAAATACAGTGAAAAAAAGACAATGAATACAATGAAATACATGGAAATACAACGAGATACATTGAAATATATTAACAGAAAATTCAAGTTGCTCAGCCCCAAACTCCGTCGTCTTTGTTCAAGAATAACCCTAATGTCATCTCGTCGAGCTGGAGGATAAGTAGAACCAAATCAAGAACCCAAAAAAGAAAAGGTCCCTTTTCCCCTAGATTCCCTCTTTTCCTCTCAATTTCTACTCCAAAATGAAGAAAATCGCTATTTCTACTCATTTGTGCGCTAGCATTAAGCCTTTCAATTCTAATTCAAGTTCAGATGTAGGGTTTTCCTTGCCTTGCCTCACTTTTGTATTCCCAAATCAACGCAGAAAGATATTGGCTTGAACAGCTTCAGTTGAACAACTTCGTTTACTCCTCTTGGTCTTCGAATATTTCGTAAGGAATTTGGTTCTTTTATGAAAGGGAAAGAATCGTTGGCTAGACAGAGAAGAGGAAGAAAATCAGAAATTTTAATGGGATGAGGGAAGAGAATGAGATGTATCAAAGTAGAGAGAGAAAGAAAATATTGTAACTGATTAGCCTATTTAGTGGTTTAGGGCTAGGAGGTAACCAAAATTAAATATTTTGCTATAAACCTTAAAAGGTATCTATAGAATATAATTTATTTAAATGGTATTTATTTAAAATAAATAATGTGTTAACCTTTGCTATATGAGGTAAAAATTCCTAACTTATATTAGATTGGGCATGTCCGGTCCTTTCTAATTCACAAAGGAATATAGGCATTTGGTTCTTTTGTTGTATGTTTCTCATTTTGGTTATTAATCTACAGGTAGGGGTCTGCCTAACCCCACCAAAATGGTGGTTTTTATTTTTAAAAAAAATGTTTTACTCCAACGAGACTTCATTTTAGAAGGAACTAGAGTTCTTACATTTTTGGTTGAAAAGGTAAATTTATGAAAGTCAAAGTGGAAAAAAACAGACTTTAAAATCTTAAATGTTTAGTTCATCTAAAATTTAATATACTAACGTGATTGTAATTTTATTTAAACGGATTATAGAAAAAAAATATAATTTATCCAACACATAATTATCTTTTGTAGAAAAAATTAGTTATCGAAGCCTAAATATAACTAAGATTTTCTTGACTTGATAAATAATAAATAGGTAATAATAGGAGAAAGAACATGAAAAAATATGCTAACTGTTAGGTAGAGAAACAAAAACTTCTAAAACTTATAATGTGCAAATGTAACTGCTTATTTTGTAATTTGAGTTTTAATTTAATGGTTATTAGTTTGCCTATTTCACCACTCACAAGCCAATTTTCGAACCAACAAAAACTATATTAATTAATCTCATTATATATATGAACTATATTAATTTTGTATTACTATTGAACTCCTTTCCAACTCAATTGATATTTTATTATTGACTTGTTGTATTAATTAGAAAAGCACGCTCAATAATTAAAACAAAAAAACAAAAAAAAAACAGAGTTAGAGACAAAGATAGATTGGTTAGGTGATAAAAGTCAATGACACTAATAATTTTGCAAACGCAGAAAATCAAAAATAAAATATTAATTTTTTCACCATTAAAAATAGAGTATGATTGGAGGAAATAGTAATTACTAAATATTTGAATTTGGTATGGGCTAGCGTTACAATTCGAATCAACAAGAAAATAAAGTATTTTTTATATGTGAGAACAAATAATCGACAATTAACTAATTAACAAAATAATCCAATTCATCTTCTACGATTTATCATAAAAGTAAAATTATTTGTTTTAAATTAACATAATAGGGTACGTAAATTGTGCTCTTAAAGGAGAATCGACGGTAAAAAAAATAAAAAAAATAAGAGGAATATCATTAAATCGCTATTCATTTAACTGAATTAACATTCTTCACTTAGCTGACATTTTTTTAGCTATTATTTTATAACTTAAATATGGAATATAATTTTTTTATATAATATTTATATAATTTTTAAAAATTTATACTCATTGAGTTGGGTACAGCGTGCAAGACTAGTATACTATAATCAAGTAATAAACGAAGGAAAAAATATTTATCGACCAAGGTTAAATAATAAAAATATAAATAAAAGACTCTCATTATGTAATTAATTAGTTTACTGTAAACATTACTGAGTAAACTTTTCATTTGCAGACCTAGTTGCTATAGTTAGAAAAAAGGGAAAAGGCTCTAATATACCCCTAAATTTTGAAAAATAGTACATTCCTTTCCCCGTTATACTATCAGGCCATTTAAAGGCCTACCATTAGGAAAGTGATTTAAAATACCCCTATTTTTAACACCGGTCCAACAAGGCAATTAAAAAGCCAACTGGAAAACCACGGTGGACAGATCCGACCCGTAACCCGTTAATATAACCCATTACATAAATACTTAGTGACCCGTTTTTAATAAAGAAAAGGGTCCATTTTTCTTGTTAGCTGAGAGAACGAGTGTAAGAGGCGATTTAGGGTTCCTCCTGTATGCATCAATTCTCTTCCAGATTTTCTGTAAAATCCTTCAAAGGTATAGTTCTATTAAACTTGGTTGCTGTTATTTCGCCTATTTTCTTTGTTTGTCCGATGTTAATCTTCTTTTTACTGAAGGTGATTTAGGGTTTCTGTTAACCTTTATAGTTTAGTGTTTGCATGTGTGTTTTCTCGGATGTAGTGAGTCTCTATTATGTGGATTTTGTATGGCAGTTTCTTTAGTGTAGAGTTTACATGTGGGACTACATTTTATCTCTTTTTGGGGAAAGGGGGCTTTTGTTTCTGGCAAAGATGATTGTATATGGTCCCCAAGAGGGACATTTTTCTGTTGTTCCTTTATTGAATACTGTAAATATTTATTGTTTCTTTACAATTTGTGATCCACCAGTAGATTTGTTTAATAATATCGTGACTCATGTGCCTGCCCTTTAGTTCTTTATACTATTTTATCTGATTCATACGGGACTGACCTTTATTATATTCAATTTTGTTATAAATTCTGCCATTTATTGGTTTGTACTATATTATATTCAATTCGGTTAACCCCTTTCTCTTATTTATTTTGTAGGTTAAGATGGTTAATGTGGACTTATTATTCAATTATGGAGGTGACTGGAAAATAATTCCAAAAAGTATTATATACAAGAAAGTTGGTGCACACTTGGAAACAATATGATTCTGACCTTCTGTCTTTCATAGATTTAGTAAATGAATATACCTCATCTACTATAGGGTATGTTAGTGTCCAATAATTGATAATTTGTGGTCCTTCTAGTAGATTTTATGAAGTAATAGGGGATGATGGTATTAGGACTTTACAAAACATGGTTATATGCTGTAGAGGATAGTGAAATGGGGGTTCATGTTCCTAATATTATCGACCATAATGAATCACAAACAGTAGATTGTGAGGTTGCAATTGATTGTAGTTCAAATGAGAGTGAAGATGAGACTCTTCTTTCAGATAATTTAGAAGTAATTGCACTACAAAAAAAGAGGGAGATTTCTGAAAAGTTAATTGAATACAAAGAGCTATACAAAGGAATGACATTCAAAGATATACCTGAGGCTAGAAAAGTGATAAATTTGTATTGCTTAGCCAATTGTTATGGTCTAAAACAACTCAAGAGTGATAGCATTAGACTGAGGTACATGTGTGAGGTTGGCTGCCCCTTTGTATGTCTAATTTCCGAGGATAAGAATGGTGGTAGGGTTAAGATCAAAACTCTTAAGTCAAAACACAAGTGTAACCCTGCATATGACAACCCTAAAATAGACAAAAATACCATAGCAGAATATTTTAAGAACAAGTTGCAAGAGAATCCTATGATCAAAGTTAAGGAGATGAAAATGACCTTAAAAAATACTTTCAACATCAATGTTAGCCATGCAAAGTGTAAGAGGGCCAAGAGAATGATACTTGAATCCCTTGCTGGTAGTTTTACTGATGAGTATAATAAGATAGAGGCATATGCCAATGAATTGAGGCTGAGTAATCCAGAGAGTGATGTAATAGTTACCTTATCAAATGATGCTCTTGCTGAAGGAAAAAAAAGATTTTCTAGAATGTATATCTGTTTTCATGCTCTAAAAGTAGGGTTTAAGAGTGGGTTGAGGCCCTTTATTGGCTTGGATGGAACCTTCTTGAAAGGCCAAAGGTCAGCTTTTAGTTGATGTTGCTCTTGATTCAATGAATCATTTTTATCCTATTGCTTGGGCTGTTGTGGATAAAGAAACAAAGGTCACCTGGACCTGGTTCTTGACATTGTTGAACAATTCATTAGACCTCAAGCTAGGGGAAGGATACACATTCATGCCAGACATGCAGAAGGTACTTATTCTATTTTACTTCAATGTTATTCTTTTAAAATTATTGACTGTTTCCTTTTTATTTTAGATGTTTAATTTTCTGCATCTTATATATGTAGGGCTTGATTGAGGCAGTTCAGGCAATAGTTCCTGATGCACACCACAGATACTGTGTGAGGCACATAGAGGCTAACTGGTGTAGAAGATGGGGTGCTGGGGATTTCAAAAAAAAGTACTTGTGGTGGTGTGCATAGCGTAGCTATGAAGAAGACTTCAAGGATCATTTAAAAAACTTGGGAGAAATTGATGAAAAAGCTGCTGAAGACTTGTTGAGGTATCCTCCACAATCATGGTGTAGAGCATACTTTGACACAGTATGCAAGAACCAACAAGTGGACAATAACCTAACAAAATCCTTCAACTCATGGATACTAGATGTTAGGCATAAGCCAATTATCAGAATGCTTGAAGACATAAGAGTTAAGGTGATGAATATGTTGAGAGAGCATGAAGGTGAAGTGATGTCTTGGACTGAAAATGTAAGTCCTCCTACCATGCAGTTATATTATCAATTCTTGAATAGTGCACAAAAATGTATTGTTGATTCTAATAGAAAAGATGGTTATGAGGTGAATGAAGGAACTACTGAAAAGTATAGAGTGGACATCAACCTGAAAAAATGCACTTGCAGAACATGGAACCTCACTGGGATCCCATGTCCTCATGCAATCAGAGCATTACTGTACAAAAAAGTAAATCTTGTGTCTGAGATTCATTGGTGGTTCACCAATGAGGCTTATCTCTCCACTTATGCACATAAGTTAGAACCAATTAAAGGAGAGAAGTTCTGGAATATAGAGTCAACTCATGCAATGGATCCACCCCTGATAGTGAATATGGCTGGTAGGCCTAAAATGAAGAGGACTAGAGAAAAGAATGAGACAATAAATAGGCAAGGGGAGTGGTCCCAATCCAGAAAAGGCAGGGTGATGACTTGTTCCACATGTGGAAAGTCTGGGCATAATGCTAGGGGATGTCAAAAGGTAACCTGACACCCTTACTATATTACTTGTTAACTGAATTAATATAGTGTCCTAATTATGTTACTTTATATCATTGACAGCAAAGCAAGGGAAAGCAGCCACAGTTTGGTAAGAAAACAAAAAAGAGATCAAGGACATTGGTTGATGAAGAACATGAGGAGAACATGGCTAGATCTCCAGCTGCTCCAGGGCTGTCCTTAGAAGAGGAGCTGCAACTGACAGTACCACAAGCCAGTCAGGCCAATCAAGCAAGCAACAATTCTGGATCTCATTACATGTTTATGCTAACACCATCCCTGTCTAGGAAGCAATCCATTAGCAATGCAGAAGCAGATTTTGACTATCCAAAAGCAGGTTTCGACTATCCAGAAACAAACAATCCAGACCCACCTATAATGCCAAGGCGTGTGTCAGAGGCAAAGACTAGACTCCAAAGGAGGAGCAACTAGGCACAACAACTGGAACAAGGACTCTTAACTTTGTTGGTGACGCCAGTGGTGTAAGTTTGCCAATACAACTTCCTTACTCACCCAAAAATATTACATGGAGAGGAAAAGCTGCCATAACAGAAAACCAATTAGAGAGGCAATGACTAGCCAAGATGAAGTCAAGAAAAGGAAATGGCAATGCACATAACTAGTCAAGTTCTGAACATGTGATAGTTTCTTGTGTCTTGGATTGATGTAATTACTGCATGTGACAATACTTTTAACTTAACTGTTAGGTCCTTTAACTTAAACTTTTCAATGTGAATGTCATTTTATTACTTGGGTGGTATCAGTTTTTGGGGTTATAAAGTGACATCCCTTTTGGGTCCTTTCAACAGAATGATGTTGAATTATGTTGTCTATGAATGAAGTTATGTAACTGTAATGTTTATGTTGCTGAATGAAGTGAATGCTGAGTTTTAATGAAGTGTTAGCTGAATTTTAATGAAGTTATGCTGACTGTCCAGCTATGTATTTCATTATGTTGTTGAAATATGTTGTGTTTGTCACAAAGGGATATACATTACAAAGGGAACTATATTGAAGATATGTTGTGTTTGTGATAAAGGGAATTATGATACAAGAAAGCTTTATACTTAAACAACAAAAATAACCAATAAAACATAGTAGGAAACGTTAACAATACAAAGCAGCTAAGTAGCAATGCAACCTAATATTAGACACCCACAAGTTAGACACATACAAGTTAACTCCCAACTACAGCTAACATTACAATGAACACATCTCCTAAGCCAATCATTTCTTCATTTAAGCAGCAACGAACCCCAAAAATAGTCCTAATATTATCAATAGAATGATCCACGTCTTTGATATTTTCTCTTCCAATATTGAAACTTTAATCACTTGAGAATAATTTTTAGCCTCCATGGCAGCTACTTCTTGCTTCAATTTCTCTATGTCCAACATAACAACATCCATTGACGACCCCAATTCTTTATTTGCACTCATAGGATTAACTGGGAAAACTTCATCTTCCCACAAGAAAAACCGACATGAATAATCCTATCAATAACAGTAAATTGCATTTAGACTAAAACACTTATAGTTTATACAATTGAAAAGCTTAATTTGTAGTTATACATTATACAACTGGAAAAAAGAAAAAACAAACTTAGAAGATGAGACCAACAAACCTTAGGTTTAGGGCATTTATAAAATTTCCTTCCAGGATTAGCAATAGTTTTCGTAGTTAAGTGGCTGGCTATCAAACCATAATGACACTTAATCTGAGAAGAGACGAGAGTAGATGAGCTTCCTTGAGACATTTCACATTCGAGGAAAGAAGGAGAGAAGATGAGCAAAAAAATTCTCTGATACGAACCCAAAATTTTTCGCAATGCACAGGTATTGGAAAGAAGAAGACATTTAATGGGTTATATTAACAGTTTACGGGTCAGATCTGTCTACCTTAGCTTTTCAGTTGGTATTTTAATTGCCTTATTAAACGGTTGTTAAAAATAAGGGTATTTTAAACCATTTTTCTAACGGTAGACCTTTAAATGGGATGATAGTATAACGGGGAGAGTAATGTACTATTTTTCAAAGTAGTGGGGTATATTAGAGCCTTTTCCCTAGAAAAAAAAGAGTTTCAAAATCGGGGTTTAGCCGCACGGGGAGGGTTTAACACACTGCCTTTTGTGAGTTTGCAATTGTAGATCATTTCACTGTGTGCCTCCTTTTCCTCATTCGATTTTCCCTTCGTAGCTAATAATATCTCCATTTATTCTCTTCTCTATTAGCTGAAGTTTGAAAATTCGCTGGAGCTGATTAATGTGTGATTGATTCGTTTTGTGTTGTGCTGAATCTGGAGCATGGCTTTGTCCATTTCAAGGAAGATTTTGCGGTCTTTTGGTTCTCTAAATTCACTTGGTCGCTTGGGTTCTCCATTTTCTGCTTCTAATGGTATTCCTTTTTCACTTCTTCACAAACCCTTTTTTTTTTTTTTCAAGATTTTATTGAAAAATTAAATCTTTATTGTAAAATCTAGTTTCAGGTGGATCCAAGATTTAAAGTCAGTGGGTGCAGAGTAATACACACACACATCACCCACTGTATTTGTGTTACAATGGTTCAGGATTAATATAAAGATTGTATCTTTTCGTTTTTTTTTGCAATTATACGTATGTATAGTTAGTGCAGAAGGCACTGGTGTGCCTATATCTGCTGTCTTAATGTTGGATCTGCCTATGTCTTTTAAAGCAGTGGCAGAACTAGAAATTTTTAATTAAGGGATTCAAAAGGTTCAAACTTGTTACCCTAATATAATTTTCGAACTACCTTTTGCCACTGCAAGGGGATTCAAAAGTTAATATATGCACAAAAAAATTTGTATTTATCCCTATTTGTGTAGTACAATTTTCACTTGCTTCTATGGATGCTAAGAATCCTAAGATGCATATTATGTTTCTTTTTATAATTTTGTGAAACAGGGAAGGGTCATATTCTTGGGGTTGATGTGCCTTGTGTGGAATCTTCTGTCTTCAGAAAGGTAAATAATTGTCATTGTAAGTTCTTTTTTCCCCTCATTGCGCGCTTATTTCAATGAGATGTTGTTACTGATATTCTTTAGAGTACTCTTTATATGTATATTAAACACTATTGTTATATGTCTAATGTTCTCTTAGCTTAGTGGTGCTTGTTAAGCTGTCCAGGCTTGTATTTAGATAGAGTTTGAGATGAGCAAAGATGAATCGAATAGTGAAACCTCGTAGTGTCAAAGAGAGTCCTGTTTAATATGTATGATAAACCTATTTCTAATTTCTCGATGCAGGATGAGTCATTCTTCCTCTCTTGTCGAAGATATTCAACTTCCATCCTGACCCCTGATTCCAGTGACGGTTCATTTCCTTCAGATCTATTAACTAAGAAACGTGTCTCAACTCCAGAGCGTGAGATAGGTATAAGGATTTTGACATTTTCATTAATTGCCTAGTGGTCTGGCACTTCTGCTAGAAATTTTATTGTTCATTGTTGTATATGCTGACAATTAATAGTTAAAACCTGCTTGCCAAATGCTTTATTTGGAAATGTTGGCTGTGTTTGAATGCATAGAATATGATATAACAACAACAACTACTACTATGTCTCAATTACAAGCATGGAACAGGATTGGATAGGAAAGCAAAAATGTAGTCTTTCTTTTTGACTCGTAAAGGAATTGTATTACAATAGGGGAAGACCATGTACAGAATAGGTAAAAGGAAACCTATCTAACTTAAGTTTATTTTCACAAAAACCGTCCAATCATCTATACATGTTGGGTATTGTGAGTTCAACATTAGTATACAAAAAGTTACACAAATCAGCTACATTTGCAGAAGGATTTTTCCTTACATTCGAAAGTTTTTCAGTTCCATTCCCTCCATGTGGTCAACATAACTCCCTGGGGAGTCCCTTTCCATGCTGTTCCCCTTCTCTGCTTTCAACACCCAAGCAATGTCTTAGACAGAACTTGGAATTCCTAACGGATGACACTGCTGCTCACTGGGATAATAATGCTCCACCTAATCCAAAAGTGTGGCAAGCATCTAAGAACTATAATTGGAATGACATGGTAATAGCATTATATAGATCAATCATCTTGTAATTGCAATGAGTGTTTAATTGGGTAGCCATATTGGGTGAATAATCCTATTCCAATCATTTTGTGTAGTACCTACAAGTATTTTTTTAGTGAACCCCCTCAGTTTATAAAGAATAGCG